AAACTCGTTCAGATTGCATTCGCTTCGTTCGTAAATATGCAGAATGTTATGTCTACAGGAAGGGTAAAAAGCTACTATATGTTATAACCTATGTTTTCTTTATACATGCTACGCATTTCATTACATTATTTATAAGAGAAATGAGGAATTCTGTAAGAGTGCAGTTGACTTGCCTTCATCATAACATATAACATGTTCTATCGAATTGTTAATCATTATGCATTACGAATTGTTAATCACATTATTGAATAAATTCAAAGTAATTTATAAAGCTTTTGCTGAAAACAATATGACATATAAAATATGAAAATAATTTAAAATATAAAATACTACACTTAAGACAAAGTCAAGATTATGATTACTCTTAAATTGTCCTTTACTTTTTGACACAATTATAACAGACAAATAACATAAAATGAAAGAACCTTTCCAAATACAAACTAAATAAACAAAGCGTTATTGTATATCCATAAAAAAAGTGAACGCTGTTCGTTGAAATAATTAAAAATGCCTGTTTTCAGCGCGATTTGAAAGCTTCAGGTCGATGCGTACACAAAAGTCCAAACGTTTCATTACACAAAGAAAAATTCAAAGTAAAGACTCGCAGAAGGATCAGCTACTTTCATACTGTTGGTCTCTTGCTCCCCTAGCGAAACAAAAGAATAGCTTAAAACATTAACGGGCTCTCTGGTGGGCTGCATGCAACAGCGAATCATTAAAAAAGAGACACCTATTCATTAGCGACTTCATTAGTCACAAGACGGAGGGACACAAGCCTTGTCTTTATAGCTAATTAATGTTAACAATCATCGCGACGAATCCACGTTACGAGCCCGGATAAAAGGACCGCGAGTATCATAACCGAAGAAATGTTCGAACGTACCTGGTCTTTGGCTTTCTAAAGGGGAAGAAGAACCATTTCAAATATTCAACGCTGTAGCTTGGATGTTGTAGATATAAGAGAATTTTAAAGCATATAACAGTCTCCAGTTTCCCGACTCTGGAACAAAACCTTTTCCAGGAAGCGTTATTTAAAAGCTTCTTATCATTGGATTTCTTCTATAAATAAGCCGGCTGCTCCACATTCGTGGAACAATGCGAGCAGCCAACCAGTGAAACCGTGCAATCTTTTCCCGATCGCGGAGTCTGATCAGAAAGACCGCATACCCCTAATCTCTTTTACAAAGAAGCGTGAACATACTGCAAGGGATTAGTGCCTTCGAGTTATATTACTACAGAAAACGCTGTAAATACGTTTTACGAGCTTTCTATTACCAAAATTATGCCTGTTATTATTCTGCTTTAAAAATCTTAAATATTACATGAAAGGTATGAAATCTTAGGAGAAAGATATTTGCCGACATATATTTATTTCAAGCTTTGACTTACGATTTCAAATTAATGATAATGATACTTAGCACTACACAGTTACAAACTTATATTTATTAGTAGCACATCTAATTATTTAAGCATTTTGTAAACAAACTTTAAGAGCCATTTCGTGACATTTCAAGAATTCATCGTGCAATTTCTTTGATGATATCATCGTTTATTCTCAAAGAGTTACACATTTCTAATACTATAATGGATATATTTATGTTTAAGAAAGTCTATAGAATCGTTCTACACAAAGAACATTCATATTGCTTTTAAATTAGAACAAAGAAAATTCACAAATTCATTTCTTAATTGCTTGAAAACTGATGTAAGAAATAATACGGAATACGGAAAAAGTTGAACTTTCAATTTTCTGAGTGGAGTTACGTGACCCAAAACCGCAGCCACATAGCAGCACAGCCCATTCATAGTTGTCTTTGCAACAAAGGAGCATCCCTGACGTTAATTCATTCCCTGATCAATCTCTGGATCTGGCTTGCCCGGCGCCGTAGAGGTTGCTGAAGAATATCCAGGGCTCCGTAAGAGAACTAGACCGGCGTATCCCCGAACAACGAAGCGCTAACCAATTGCTAGACGCTGGTACACAACCAGGCCGGTAGACAAGGAATTAGCATAGTCCCGGTTCGTACAGCACAGCCAGAAACTAATCCGTCTGTTCTGTTACGTCAGGCTGGTCAGCCATCCTTAGTCTCCCTCTTTCCACCTTGGATCTGGAGTAGCTCGAACATGGTTTGCCCCGCGTCAGACTTCTTAGTCCTCTGACGAACTTGTGCGAGCGAGCGTGCACCAGCGCGTTGCAGACTTACTCCTCGAGGCAGTTCAGGCTACTTTTACCGTGTTGGATTTCGGCATGTCTGCGAAACAGAGTCCACTACGCTTCGGTTTGATTTGAAACGGTTTTATCGGGGTGACGCTGGGAGATCTTGGAACTCGGCGAGCCGAAGTACTTCGATGAATACTGTATTTTGAATATACGCGGATGTAGCAATTTATATTGGACTACGATCTGTGAAAAGTTTGTCAATGTCGGCGGTCTTCGATTATTACAAATACATGGATCCAGGAAACAGCGAGGGAACTCTCTAGCTAGGGGCACACTTAGATTGGACAAGAAGGTATCCACTAGAATCAGTGAATATTTGAATACATTATGAACGGTTGGAAAACGCGAAGGAAATTTCCTTGAGGACGCAGTGTCTCGGATAAAAAGCATCTCGGAATACTCGAGTGGATGCTCCAGATCTATAGAGACGTCCTTCCTTTTTGAACTCCAGCGATTGAAGGACAGGGTGTAGACGGCGAGAAACAGCTGCGTGCCGTAGATACGAGTGTGTGTTTGAAGAGATCTACCTTTTGAAGAGGGCGCGGTAGCAGCGTTATGAAGTGACAAAATGAAGAAGACAGTCTGGATCGAGGATTTTTTGGAAACGAAGGATAGCGTCTGCAGATGGTAGATTGTTGAATTAGGTATAGAAAAAGAAATGCAGTTGGATACGAAAGTATTCGACCATCATAGGTTAAACAAATTTGCAAATTAAACATTTACTGAAGTTTGTTTTGATGAACAATAACTAATTTATTTTTCGATGAATATAAACTAGTTTGTTTCTTATGAATCCTAACTAGTTTGTCTTTTACGGACACTACCTAGTTTTCTTTATAAACATTAACTAGTTCTTTTATGAAATAGTTGCTGCATGGAATTAATTTGCAAACTTATTTCTTAATTTTGCACCTTCCGCGTGTTGTTGTTGTGTATAAAATGGTGTGAAAATCCTTTGAAAGTATTGTTACTATCTACTATTGAATTCTTTCAAGAACGACTATGATTTTTAGTATACCCTCAATGAGTAATCACTATATTCAACATTTATTGGCGATTTTCTCATTAAACGTTCGGAAATAAACCTATTGTGCAAAATTTTTGAAAGTGACATATGACATAACGAAACAGTTTTTGCATAATAGTTTATTTGCTAGAGCATGATCGCTATAATTATGAAGTTCCTTGGGTAAAACCCCGCATTATTCAGGTGTTGAATATTTATATGATTACTTAGATAGGATCCCTACACTCCATTAAAAAGTTATTTCTACTTTCACTAACGATTATAAGATGTACAGAGGCCCATAAAAGTGTTAACATATCAAATGTAACAACAATTCATAGAAACGTTACGAAAAAGTTAATAAAATTAACCTGAATCAATTTTATCTCTGTACATAAATAATTTGTAAGCTACTGTAATCGAAGTAGTATTTTTTCATTAACAACTAAGAATATGATAAATAATGCTATAAAATTGTATACGAAATTGCAAATAACTTTGGGGATCAATTATTTAACAATAAAATTGGTATTATTAAATTTGGGTCTAATGATAGTGTAGTGTTACACACAATGGAGTTATATAATACGTATAACCTTGCAATTAACGTACTGCTAATAACTTCCAACATAAAATAAATTTGATGCGACAACGGATTACACAGCATAAAGGATTAATTTAAAATATAGTTACAATACGTTTAGATAAATTTAATTCGGCGGTTAAATAACCTATTTCGTGCATCGCATTGTGGATTACAAAAGGCTATTAGTGTCAGTCATAAATTAACGAGGTGAAAACTAGCATGTTCGAAGGCTTCCATAGTTTTTGTTCTGTGTTCAGTCCATTTACGTTAGCGCGCAAACATTTTCGATTTTACTTTAAAAACTGAAAGTTCGTCCGATGACACAGATGCTTACGACCAGAGGAAGGTTTTCACCATAATTTGAAACTTTCTACTCAAGTGCACATCCTGTGGGCGGCTCGTCCGTTTAGGTTCACCGATTCGTTTGTCCGTGCAGCGAGGGTGCAACGTGCATTCACGTTAAACCGCGTTGCGCCATAACTGTAATGCTAATTCAACACGATTTATTTGATTGGACCGAAAGCCGGAAATGCCGCTCAATTTATGATGAATGGCTGAACGGAAAAGTTGGAGAGCCGATTTCATTGTTAGAGAAAAACGCAAACATAAATCAAGCATTGCATACATTGCGAACCTGAATTTTCAAGCAAACGTATATCTATGAATCTAAATCTAAATTTTCAAACATTACATGTAAATAAGCATAATTTTTATTAAACAAAATAATTCATCACTGGACAGCGGATCTTTATGCACAACATATATTTTCTTCATAAATTGCAACAAACAAGAACAAGATAGAAATTTTGTTCTTTGTTTAATAATTTTATTACGTGGTTAATAATATATAAATAATCATAAATTCTTTTAATCTCTGTATAGTTTCAAATTTCGTCAAGCTATTTCTATCATAAATGTATAAAATCCGCAGTCAAGAGTCATTAACTACAAACAGGAAAGAAACATTTGAAATCGTAAAATTAGTACAAAATTAAAAATTAGTACAGGATTTTTATTTAACACTTTACAAAAGTTATTATGTTTAAAAATGTTCTAAAATATCTTCCAATAAATATTATTGATGAAAATTATTAAGTTTTTCATTTTCTGAATTGTTTGATTTCGCTTGGCTTAAAGCGGAATATTGCAACAGAATTTTTCATAACGATGCGTTCATTTTTTTACAGTCTGAAGGAGTTGATCTTAGATCGTAATGGGATCAAATACCTGCCGCAAGAACTCGGTGAGCTGAAAAACTTGAGAAATATTTCCTTAGCTGGAAATTGCCTCAGCAGTCTGCCATCTTTTTTCAACATGCGAGCCCTCACGCTAACGGTATGTTGCTATGCATTTCATGGAACTATTAAACTATTTTGTAATTTCAAATTGCTCTGAAAGCACACTGGTGGTTCAGTGTTACAATGAACAGTCACGGAATAATGATGTACCGTGTACGGAAACACGGATCCAGGCTAATGAATGGGCAATTATTAGAAATAAATAAGAGCGAAGAATGTGAAACATATTTCAACATTCAAGCTGATCTGATTCTGATTCTCGTCAAATCGATGAAATTTTTTTCTAGTAGAACCCTTAAAAAACGACAAAATCTTTTAAACAGTCTAATATTAGAATTTTCTACGTATCTCGCAAAATAATTTTGTTTTATATTTTCAGTTTTGTGTTCCAAAAATATGTATTTTGCGTTTAATATCTAAAATTATGCAAATAAATATTACCGAAATGTAAGGATCAAATAAAAAGTGACACAATCAGTTTTTCTTTTATGTCGAAAAGATGTCGAATA